GAGCTGGCACTTCAGCCCAGGCCTAGACTGGTCCCACGGAAGGAATTAGCAGAAGAATGAATTAGGTGTGCTGCTGGAGAACACACTCCAGCTTAATCTCATCCTAAGAGAATGCAGGTCATATGTCCCCTGACACGCACCAAACTGCAGTAAGATTCCCTTCAAAAGTACATTCCTGATCAGGTCTAAAATGCTAATCATGTAGATGCAGATGAAGCTGCAGAAATTCCTACCCCTCCTGCAAGGACGTGGCTGCAGACTTGGGAGCTCAGAATGACAGTGAGATAGCCAAGGGTCGCAAAGGAAAAAGAATGAGTAGAAAGAAAAGTTCAGTTGTAACCCAGCCAAAAGCTGTTTGACTAGACACTGTCCCTCTGCTGAGACTCTCATCCTGACTGCATGAATACATCTAGTAGTTCACACTAGCGTAAAGTAAAGCAGATAAATATAACCCACAGAAAGATTAAAGAGATTAGATTAGAGCAACATGAGATTCGCTAATCTGTTTCACTTGGCACTGAAACAGAGTAGGAGCATTCAGAGCTGCAAGTTATGACATTTATGACTGTAAGACCTAGCTGAAAGATGGTAACTGCCAGCTGCAGAATTGCAAACTGTTTAAGCTTCTCAAAATGGGGCCATAGTCTCTCATCTGACTACATTTATGAGAACAGAGAATCATACACATATGTGTAGTAGTTGAAATCACGGAAGGAGAGTTCTCACCACGAGAGCAGAACAAAAAAAAACCGCAGAGCTGATAAAAATAGAACTACCTAGATTCTACTGCGGACTCGACTCCAACACAGGAAAGTCAACTCAAGTTAGTGCTCTGCCACATGTCCTCTCACAAACCTTCTTCCATCTGATTCTTCAGAAGAATCTACAGCTTTACACACAGGTGTACTAAGACACTGGAACACACTTAATATCTATCACCAGTCATTTCTGAAAACTGTCACTGGAAACACAGTTCTCCAGTGCTTTGAAACAGGGGGTGAAATCGTGCTAACAGATTCTTCCAAGAATTCAAAGAACATGCCCATTTTGGGGGAAATGCACAACTTCAGGAAATGCATTGGAAACATCAAAAGTAACCAGAAATGGTAAGAATCCTCTAGTAGCGCACACAAGCAGTTTTAGTCCCATATGTTTCCTACTACTTGCAGTCGGATACTTGAAATCATAAATGGGTGAATAAACAGGAATACTCCTAATGTGAAACACAAAACACCCATGCTGAAAGCAGCTTCCTTTACTTTTCCTAAGAGAGCTAAAGATGACTGGGCAGATGTCAGCATGCAGTTTTCTGTACCAATCCCAAGCAGATTGCATATCCTTTTCTCTGCAGAGTGGGACTTGAGCCAGCTGTGGCAAGTACAAAGATGAAGAAATAGATCAACATATTGAACCAATGTAAAACGTACTTAATATCAACCAAAACGGTTACTGTAATTAAAAAAAATTTGGCTTTCATGTACATAACAGGAAGCACGTGTGATTTTTATGTTTATGATAGATTCTTAAAATTATGCCTGAAAAGAATATTTTCCCAATTACAAAATAACACTGCTAGATTTTTTTCCTCCTTCTCCCGTCCCTATAAAAAGAAGACCAAATAGCTGTTTTTGTGTATTTCTATCCATGCTGTTATCGCCAAGGGTATTAAGAGGAGCACACCTCACTTTTGAGAGAATGCTCAGAGGACACAAGCATGGCAGAGGACCACTGTGGAGGAATGGAAAGAGCATGGTTACCAACGTAACACAGTGAACGCAATGGGAGCTGTGCCATCAACATATCTCGCCCTTTCTTCATTTGTATTTGTGCATCTCGCCAGACTCTCCGCATACCTCCTTTTATTTCAAGTATACCTCAATTTCAAAACGTGATACATTTTTTAAAAGGTACATGCAGCATTCAAAAGCCAAAAGGCATTCCCACCAGATTTTAACTATTATAAACACATTAACATTGCCCAACTTCTAGACTGAACTGCTTCAGAGAGTACATTATGTGCCTTCATAGAGACTGTGGTGTACCACATAAAATCCTCGGCTGGCAACAGTAGCTGGAGCAAAGTTCAAGTCAAAGCTCTGATTCCATCCCTCCACATTCCTCCTTCATGACAAGTTACCACTTCTTTGTCTCAGTTACTCCGTTGAGAAGGCACAATATAATAGAAAGGAAGGAAGGGACCAAAGTTATTCAGAAGGCTCTTTAGTACCAATAAAAAAAAAAACTGCGAAAAAGACCTTGGATGAGTTTCCTTCCTCAAGTACTATTCATTAATGTAAGGCCAAGTAAAGTAGGTTTATTCCAAACTCACCTGACCTTCATGGGATAAAGAATATGCCTGGTAGTCTTCTTCAGGTGAACAAGAAATGTGGAAAATGCTAACCCATTTTGGAAAAAAAAAACCCTCTGAAATGAGTTACTGGCACCTCAGAAAGAAGAAATGACAAAAATGGCAACAAAGTCACCCCAGTGCCAAGGATCAAGCTCGATTTTCTGGACATCCACACAGCTAGCAGTCAACTATTTAAACAGAAAGAATCAGAGCTACCTTTCATATGAACGTACTGAAAGACTGAGTTGAACTTGGACTGCATTCAGAATGCAATCTTGTGTCATCTGCAATTACTGCAGTCTAAGGTAACATTCAGAGGACAAACTGGTTCGCCATTAACACTTGCTTTAAGTTATTTATATACACACTGTTGCAGTCACTTAATTTAACAGAAATATAAACATATGCTAATTAGAGAGAAAAGAACATCTGTGTTGGTGTTTCAGCTGAACTGAATAAAGATATTTCAGAAAGCAAATATTAGACAATTTTTATTCTGTCAGACATATGGGACAACTGAAATAGAAAAATGGGAAGTAAATATCTGCACTAATGAATAACAAAAAGGGAATTATGCAATTAGAAAGCAAAATAATCCCTTAGTTAAACATTCTTCTAACTGACATCGTAAACACTTGTTACCAAGGATAAAATGACTTAATCTGCTAGCAGTAACTGCAGTTTCAACTATAAACAAGGTTGTTACATGTCCCAGGAGGCATTTTGCAATTCAGGATGCAGCTATTACAGTAGTGGGACAAATTTCTCCCCTGCACAGCCCAACTAAAGTTATAGTCCAAAAGAACTGGACCCAAGCTTTGAAATTAATAGTTTGCCTCTTAGAAAAAGATATTATTGGGAAAAAAAAATCTAAACCATGCTGCCTCATTTTTATTTTCATGTAAATGATTTGCAGCTCATACTGAAGCAGTTGAAGAGGTTGCCATGTTGTGCTCTTCAGTACTACCCTTCAGCTGAGACGCTGCAATCACACATTTTCCATCCCAGCACACAGCCATCCTGCATAGCAGGGCACCTGTTACATTACAAAAGAATGACACAAACTTTGAAACTGGTGGAAAAAGCAGTTTATCGCTTTTTCACCTTAGGAAATTTTATTTTATAATAAATTTAAAAATTGTATTATTAGGGAATGAAAGACAATCTTGACACTTCATTAAATGTTAGTATAGAGAATCCTCGTGTCAGAGTTCTCAATTTGTGACTTCATAGAAAGAGTCACCTTGATAGTGTCTTTATCACAGAAATTTCTGGCTGGACAATGAAAATGAAGGAAATGAAAACACTTTTGCTAATGTACAGCTTCTAACACTGGGTCTGGCACTGAACCACCTTCCATGCCCACAGCTTGCCTGTTTCTGCCAACAAAACCATTTGCAAGGATGCATGCATTTTAAATAGTAAAATTGGTGTTTTGGAGTATATCTTGGAGTACTGCATCCAGCTCTGGGGGCCCCAGTACAAGAGAGACATGGAGCTGTTGGAGTGAGTCCAGAGGAGGGCTATGAAGATGATCAGAGGGCTGGAGCACCTCTCCTGTGAGGACAGGTTGAGAGAGTTGGGGTTGTTCAGCCTGGAGAAAAGAAGGCTCCAGGGAGATCTAATTGCAGCTTACCAGTACCTGAAGGGGCCTACAGGAAAGATGGAGAGGGACTGTTTATGAGGGAGTGTAGTGACAGGACAAGGGGTAATGGGTTTAAGCTAAAAGAGGGTCGATTTAGATTAGATATAAGGAAAAAAATTCTTCACTGTTAGAGTGGTGAGGCACTGGCACAGGTTGCCCAGAGAGGTTGTGGATGCCCCCTCCTCATAATTGAGGCTGCTATTTTTACACCAGAGGCTATATTTCTGATTTTTTTAAAAAATGTACTGTTATCTCCAGAGCAACAAGCAGCACCTATGCAGAACTCTCTCAAACACTCCAGGTGTTATTAAGCTCACCACTCCCTGCTTGGAACAGATGT